ACGGGAGGGGCGAACTCCCAACATGCCCTTGCGGAAAATGGACATGCGGCTCGCAAAGCAAATCATATCCAGGACGCTCATGACACACGATGCTCACAACGCATGATGCTCATGATGCTGTTGCTATGAAGGTGTGTGCTTTATGGCCTGCTACTAACGAAAAAATGCCTCCAAATTTTCAACGATACATGTGTCAAAAAACTGAACTCCATAACCAAGTAATGCACAACCAGACAATACACCACCACTCGTGTACGACGTCCTTCCGGACAAGCGCGGGAAGAGGGATACGGGAGGGGCGAACTCCCAACATACCCTTACGGAAAATGGACATACGGCTCGCAAAACAATTCATGCCCAGGATACTCATGTCACACGATGCTCACAACGCATGATGCTCATGATGCTGTTGCTATGAAGGTGTGTGCTTTATGGCCTGTTGCTGTCGAAAAAATGCCTCCAAATTTTCAGCGATACATGTGTCAAAAAATTGAACTCCAGAACCAAGCCATGCACAATCAGACAATGCACAACCACTCGTATACGATGTCCTTCCGGGAAGAGGAATACAGGAAGGGCGAAGTCCCAAATATCCTTGGGAAAAAATGGATATGTGGCTTACAGAACAATTCATGCCCAAGATATTCATGAAACATGATGCTCACAATCACCGGCATGCAATACCAAGGGAGATAAAAAGAACACGAAGGACCATAAGGGAGACAAACAGAGACCCCGACCAACACGGGCATCCAACACCAAGGGAGACAAAGGGAGACGAGCACAGACACCAACCCCGCAAGCCTGGCACAAACATCTAATACGAAGGGAGATGAAGGGAGATATATAAAGGCATCGATCGTTGCCATTCCGGCACAGGCATCCAATAGGAAGGGAGATAAAAGGAGATGAGCAGAGATATGGGCCGCCACAAACCCAGCAAAAATATCCAATACGAAGGGAGACAAAAAATCATAAAGAGAGATAAATAGATGGATATACACCACCAACCCGGCACAAGCATCCAACAAGAAGGGAGATAAAAAAAGATGAATAAAGCTACGGACCCCCATAAATTCGACACAAACATCCCGCACCAACCGAAACAAAGAGAGATAAATAGAGACAAATAGAGGAACCGATCACCACCAACCCGACACAAGCCTCCAATATCAAGAGACAAAGAGAAATAAAAAGGGACAAACAGAGACGCCAACCCCCACAAATCCGGCACAAACATCCAACACGAAGAGAAATAAAGAGAGATAAATAGAAGTATCGACCACCATCACGAAGCGAGATAAAGAGAAATAAGTGGACCCACCACTCACCATCAATCCGACACAAACATAGATAAAAGAAAATAAATAGAAATATCGACCATCATAAACCCGGCACAAACATCCAATATCAAAAGAGACGAAAAGAATTTCATAGAGATATCAATCATCACCATTCCGGCACAAATATCCAATACCGAGAGAAAGAAGAAAAGACAAAAAGAAATAAAAGGACTACAAGCAAAGACAATAAACCCGATACAAATTCCAATACGAAGAAAGATGAAGAGAGACAAATGTACCGACCGCCACCAAGAGAGACCAAAAGAGACAATTCCCAAATCCGATAAACCTATGAATAAAGAGAATTTCGAACTCTCCAAAACATCTATCTCCGCCAAATCAGAACTCCTTAGAAAGAATTGAAGACCCCAATAATCGAATACTTAGGGGACCAAAAACCGAAATACTTTCAAGAATTCATATACGCCCAACATATATAAGAATAATTTCTATTATTATATTTCTCAATTATCCGATTCTCTCTTTTTTATATTCTTCAGATAAATTCGAAGGTTCATTTTTCATTTATAAGTTCAAATAATCGTTCCTATTTTCATATATGTATTCCCGAATATAGAAATAAGAATTCATTCAGAAAATCGTATCTCGAAAGATAAAATATTTTTCGAATTCTTATCCAATAATGAAACATCAAGAACAAAAACAACACGCCCCGACCTTTTTCCAATGTATAGATTATTGAAAGAAGTTCATGAAAACCCGAAGTCCATAAATAGATATTTTTGAGGATAATTTTTGAATCCATATCCATCCGGATTCCGGATTTCAAAATATTCAGAAACCTATATCAGAAAAGAAACAATCGCAGATCTTGAATCATTGAGAATGATTCTAAATGAATAAAGACATCTTATTCCTTCCAGAATGAAGGCCAAGGCCACCCCATATGGAGGGAGACAAAGAGCCCAGGAACTTGGCAATGCTCACCAGAATGTCGGCAATTGCTTAAATGGGTGGTTGTCAAAATTATGCTCCCTTTTTGGATCCCTATTATCGTACGGCACCTTGTATTTAGGGATCAAAATTTTGACAGCCACCCAAATGAGTTTGGGGACAAGTGGAGACGAGCAGCCAGGGATCCGGCAGGAGCACCCGGCTAGGTCGGAATTCTTAGAAAGAAACAGGACCCCTACAGTAACCTGTTTCGGGAATTGAGGTAATTGCAAGAACACGCGACTTTAGAACGCAACCCATATTATCGTCCGGAGACCGTTTTCAGGCCAAGATACCGGGCGAGGAGGCGAGGAAGCTAGCTCATTTCAAGTCCAATACCCCCACTCTGGGAACAGGATCTATGACTAAAACCATACTGGCGTGCTGGGCTCCTCCCTTCGAATAGCAAAAGACTAAACTCTAGAATAGGGACAAAGAAAGCCATTGTGCAAGAAACTAAGCCCCTAAATCCGGAAGTTTGGGGCGGTTTGTGGTTACCTTTTCGCTGGGGACCTTAGGATGCCCCCCCAGTAAGGGTGCGCCAGTCTTCATAACATTCGGTTTAGCTCTTTAGGGTATAGGGTTTAGGGTTGACCCCGATGACTCATCTAATTCACCCCCTCCCCCCCATCACAGGATCTTCACTGCAAGCCATCGAGATCATCTGAGCTTCGAATACGCTATCGGGAAAACCCTTCAGTTTCGATTTTTCAGCATCTTCAATGCATGCGATACTTCCGCGGCCCGACCTCTAATCGGTCGGCGGCGATCCCCTGGTGGCCTCACGTCCTTGTCAAGGCGGGGGCGTTTAAGTTTAGGGCCCCCTTGGCTTCCAGTCTTCCTGGTAGGTTGTAGGCTCTGAGGCCGGCGCCACTCGGGATCCGCGCGGGTGCTCAAGCCCGGCAAGCCCTGAAGGCTGCGAATTCAAGGGAGGAAACAGTGGCTTGAGACCCTCAGGCGTTCGTTGCGGAATCTTGCGGAATCTTGCGGAGGTCTACGCCCTAAGTTGTCATGTCTCTGCGTTTTAGATAGAGCTGATGAGCAACTTGAACCGAAAACCCTCTGCTTTGCACGCCTTTGGCTATGGCCGCTAATCTGTTGAGCCTGGAATCTATACTTCTGGCCTCAGGCAAGCCCAACAGCACTGCACATTTTTGCACTCTGAGCCGACCACATCCGCAAAGCACAGGCCATCACCTGCCTGCACATGTCGGGCACTAGGTGTTGCGCATGAAAAGAAAAGCGGAGCTGACTTTGCGTTTACTCTCCACAGACATCAACCTGTTCAGATCCCAGAAGTGCCCAGACATTTGTACAAAACACCTGCCTTCCCTGGCCGTGGCCGGCTGTGGGCGACAGCCCCGTTACATACAATGTCTCTGGGGCGATAGCGGGTCTCAGGCATTGAAGGATTTGGGCTTCGACGCAAGCTTTCAGACGGTCGTGAAGAACTTCAACTGAGCGTTCACTTGTGAGCACGGTGGCGCGTGCAAGCCTAAACGACGCTTGGCCCCTACCCCCCTCCTCCCATCCGCGAAAAGAAGAAAAACCAAACAACGCCCTTCAAAGCATCGGAAGGGCACCGGTGGATCCAGTGGCAAAAGCCAGAGCCACGGCCGCGGGCCGAATACAGCCTTCATCACACTTGGCTGGTAGGGCTTGGGCTCCGGATTGTGGGGAAGTGCTTGAGAGTGAGGTCCGGGGTTTAACGTTAGGAGAACTACGTCGAACGCGGGGTTTGTGCACGCTGGGGCCCAAGCTGAATACTGATAATCGGGTGTGTGTGTGTGTGGGTATGACCCATTCACTTCAACGAGTATGTGATGAGGTAAGGGAGGTGAAGCAAAGTCGGATGTGAACACTAAAAGACCTGAAGCAGTACCTCTTGAGATTAAGTGACTAAGCTCAATATCCGAAACTAAAACGCTTTGAAACCCTGACTCGTTAAAGCGCTGATGCACGATGTCCTAGAGAGGGAAGCCCAGAGAATGACCTGCGGCCGCAATCCTGAATCCTGAGCACTGCGCACAAGTGCTGAACTCTGTGCCTACCAGGATATGGGGCCCTTGTTAAGGATTTCAAAGGCGCGCGGCTTCGGAAGGTTTGGTTGAACTTCGGAGTTTTGGCTGGGTTTAGTCTAGGGCCTAGGGCCCAGGACGTCTAAGGCTGAAGATTGGCACAGCTCAAGGCGTTAGACTGCGGCTCAGGGCTTGGGGGTTTAGTACTTCTTCTTCCTCAGCGGGAACCCGCATCAGCAACAGGACACCGAAGAAATGACCCACATTCTTGAGCAAGCTCTGCTTCGCTGCCTTCAGATTGTGATACGGGCCGTAATCGTACCTGACGCTAGCTTGCCCCTGCATATGCTTGAGGGGATACGAAGCCTCCCCGGACCCGCTGGATACACCGGTGAAGAATTGTCGAAACGACGGGGGGGTTCCCGGGAAGACATGGACGGGAAGACATGGAGATGTTTGGCTCCTTTGAGGATTCTGGGCGAGAGGCCTGCATGATCAATCGCTGCTTAGATATACAAACCGTTGCATGGCTGGAATGGACTGCTATTTGCTTAAGAACGCCCAACACATGAAAAAATAAGAACAGTAGTCCCCATATTACCCATATGAGGAAGAATGTGTTGATTGTTTTAAGTACTGAAGGTTTTTTGAGACCGTGAGCCCAGCTGTAACTGCAGGGGAGCACTTGGAGCCTTTGCCAGCGTGGGGGCTGGCTATTGAGTTCTGCTTCTCGCAGAACTCGATGGTCCTCAGTCAATGCAACAACGCTCTGCATCTCAATGCTCAACTCCTGAACGCATTCTCACATTTCCTATCGCTGTTGACGCTGCTCTTTGCAGTCGTTTTCCGTTTGCACCGCGGGCAAAAGCGGTTGTGTACGCATGACACATATGTACACACATATTGTGTGTATACACACATACATGCAGGCAGGTATGCTACAAAGACCAGCAGGACTATGTTTAGAGACAAGGCTCTGCGTGCTGGGGTGTCCTTGCTGACCAGTGATGCGAGGGGCCTACTAGTTGCGGATACACCTAAAAATCTACCCATCTGCCAACGCAATCCTGAGCCTTAGGGCCGTTTGGGTCAAATGTGCTGAGAGTCAAGAAGCAATTATTGACCCAAGGTTGTGGCCAAAAAAGCCTTCAAAAATGGTCAAGGTTGTGGGTTGTAAGTGGGCACGGCACAACCTTTTTGCTCATTTACAAAGACATAGACGCCTGAGGGAGGGGCGTAAGACCCCGCATCATCAGCATGACGTGGAAGCCTGTGAAGGCTGTCAGCAAGCATCCTGGCATCGGGCCCGCCATAGCCATTCGGTCCATTTAGGCTCTGGCTGAGTTATGACAGTCATTCCCAGCCCTGAACTGCAAGCCGGCACTTGCTGCAGCGACTCTTGCTTCGAATCTGAAGAGCCCACGGGCCGAAACCACCTTCAGGCCCGAGATCCCCTTCCAGCTCACAGAAACCACAGCCGGAGATGCCCATGAAGCCGGTTGTCACAAAGCACAGCATCAGCAAGAAGCGGTGCGAGATCGGCATGTCCTCTACTCGTCGGTAGAACAATGGTGCGATTCATCTTCTACTGTACAGTAAACTCTATAAGGTTGGAACATGGTTAAGGACGATTAGGGCCGGGATTGCCCTTAGTAACCCTCTTGGGGCGTGAGGATAGTGATGTTGCATCTTTCGGGAGGTTACCGTAACAGAAGATAGATGATACGGAAGGCTGCGCATAGGTTGCTTGCGGTGGGTGACAGAATTTGATCACTGTCTATGTGCTTGTCGTGTTGGGAGTGATCTACCTGGATGCTGCACAGATCTTAGACAGGACTAGCGCTCTCGTGAGGCAATGTCGGCGCGAGTGATGTGAAGCTACTTCGCAATGAAGACCAGTCTCGACGAGTGCATCGACCAGATACTCGGCGCGCACAATCTGGAAAGGCAAGCAAGACGACCCACAAGCAGGGGCCAACTCACAGACTTTGGATTTCTATGACGATATGGGGTTTCACCAGCTCCGAGGTAGCTAAAGGCAACAGAAGAATATAGCTGATCCCAGTATGAGATATTCACCGCAGCCAGACAAAGCCGGATGAGGATGAGGTCGGTGAGGTCTGAATCTGCAGATGCTGGGATTGGGGTATAGAATTGCGATCAGGAGATTGGGCTAAAGCTTGGGCTGGATGCCCATAGTCAGGGGGGTCCATACACCTAAATGGGCAATGCTGGTTCAACCTTGCTGTGGGCTTGGGCGGGCAGCACTGTAGAAGCAATCAGACACAGTCAGAAGCAGCAACAGCAACTGCAGGCACACAGGTGTGGATGAACTCTTTTTGTGCGGAATGTTGTTGATCTGTGTGCTTTGTTGATCGGCCCCTTTCTCATAGGGGTGATCAGGAGGGGCTTCAACAAAGCTTGAATCCTCCACCTGAACAATCCCTACATTCTTCAGAACTCCACACGACAAAGCTACAAAGACAGCACAAACCTGCAAGAAGGACCCATGCCCCGATGCCCTCCAGGCCACTTCGGGCTTGAAATTTGCCATCTCCTTGTGCACTGACTGGAAGATCGTCTCCAGGGTGGTGCTGCCGATAAAGATGCAACCTGGGAGCAATCCAACCCTGAACCCATGGAGACTCTCGTGTTTGGGCAGGGGTGATAGCCGGCGAGCATGTTCACGGTCGACCTTCCATTTATTTTGGGAAGATTCAGGTCGCCCCGGAGCTCGAACTGTGGGTTTCCCATTGATGTGTGCCTGCAATCCGCCTTGAACTGCGAACCCGGTCGATGATTACCATGATGGTTTTAGTTTTAAGGTCCAGCTTTTCGTGCGGATGTTTTTACCACACCTGTTTACCTCAGCCTCTTTAAATCCCTCTAGGTCTCGCCCAGGCGCTCAAGAGAGAATACAGGACCAGCAAGGAGAAGTACTTGTGGTTCCTGGCCAGGGGGAGTTGCGCAGCCGCAAGCCTCATAGGAGCCTCGACACGCATGCACCCTGCTTCTAAAGACAGCTCCGACAATTCCAAGAGTCTTATTATGACTGCGGGGGCAAGGGAAAGACATTACTGTTGTAGGACTGCAACAAAGTCCTTCATGGAACTGCATTTGGGGTCGCATGAGATGAAACTGGCATCTTAGAATTCTAGTTTCTGTGCAAAGCCAAAAGTACAACATCAGACTTTCTTCTTTCAGGGTCGGCTTCAGACTTTGGAGGTCGAATAGGTTGTTCAACATGCGCCTCCGGCTGTGGTTCAGTTTGCCTTTCATGTGTGGCCGTGTGTGGGCAACTCTTGTCGCCGAAAGAACCCAATGATCAGGCGGTCGTGAGATGCAGGCAGGAAGGGAATCCCAAACAAGAGATGCAACTGCGCAAGCCGATGACGATCCGCCCGCAGCAGCCGCCGCAACAAGTGGCGTGAGGCTCTTGAAAGGTTTTCTTCGTAAACCCTGTTTCAGAGGCAGTCCTGAAGCCTACGCAGTTCATGATCCACGGACAGTGGTGATCCATCTTCCTGGGCTCAAGGGCGGGCATTTGGGGGAGCAGTCAGGAACCACAAGGAAAGGAGGTGGAGTGGTGAAAGTAAGGACTGCAAGGCAGGATTCAGGACCGTCCAAACACCACCTGCGGCTGAGCATCAAGATGCAGCACCGGCATATTCGACAGTGGTGACACCTTGTGTGTGCAGGAGGCATAAGATGCCCTCAAATCCGAATGCCCCGGATCAACCGCCATGCGACTCAAGTTTGACAACGCCCGTGTCTCATTGCACATCAACTCCTACCAACAGCTTCCACAAGCCCGAAAAAAACTAACAGTCAGAATACGGGGCATACGAATCATGCAGTCAGCCCGCGTTTATGCAGGGGCTTCTTGGACCAATATGGGGCAGTCAAGTACAAGGACATGCTGCCCACCAACAAGCTTGGCTTGGAAACCACTGGAACAATTCGGTGGCAACCCAAATGAAGCCAAGCGAGAGCCGCGCACGAAAACAGGAACAACAATTCGTCGACAACATGGGAAGAAAGCCTTCACAAAACACAACAGTGGACCGCACTTTAACAGTGAAGTTTGGCAGCTGTCATCGTGTCCTATGTATTTGATTTCGATTGCTTGGCCATTCTCTGTTCCACTGTTCCTTGCGTTTTCATCTCGTTGTTTTGCTGATTCCCACCCCTTGTCTGTTCCCACCTTCGGAAAATGCAACTCCAGGTGTTCTCACTGCGGTTGCTGGCGCCCTGCTGTAGATGCCAATTCTGCCCGACAACTCTGCCCGCATGTACCCACGCTGCTGCCCAAAGTCCATACCGACAGGCATTTGTTTAGGGTTTAGGGTTTTCAGCCTTTCGAAACTCAAAGCCTCAGCAACACTGAAATCTAAAAGGCTCAAAGCACCCTGAAAATCAAAACGCTTTAACGAGCAAAGATTTCAGAAGGCAGGTGGGAGCTACAACCAACACTGACTGTTCCCACCTGTCTGGCTTGTAGATAAGGCAGTGCTTACACCTTCGTCTCTCCCCGGTGCCTTTCACCTGCCGGAGCTAAGCGGTGCCAATTGTCGGGGGTTTGCTGGCTGAAGCTTGTTCTCAAGACTTGGGAGAATTCAGGGATTTCAGGTGGTTTCGGTCTACTGCTACACCCTGAACACCCAGACTCTTGGCTCCACGTGCGTCAAGTGCTCGGGGAGCGTCGTGTTACCAGCGTGCGAATGGCCAGAGCATCCATGCCTGCACGATGATAACGTCCGTGTTACCAGCTCTTGTGTTCTCAAGCCCCAAACGGGCGCAAGCCTTTCGCCGTCAACTGCATCCTATTCATCATGACTGGTGCTGGGGCCGAGCCTGCTTTGCCTCCGGCTTGGTTGTGCATTGTAGGATGTTGTAGGTTTGGTAAGGGTCCAATGCGGCTCGGGGTCCTAAACGTAAGCAGGCTTAGGGATGACGTAAAGCAAGAAGCAACTTCGAAGCCTGCAGTTCAGGAAAGTCACCCTGCCAAAGTCATACGCCACAACCCTTGATATGCTATCTCACCATCTCACTGGCAGTGCGGTCAAACATGACATTGCTGTCAAGCTACCTACACGGAATCGGATTTACAGAAAAAACATGATGGGATCGCCCGGCCTCTGTGGTCATGTTTGGGTCCTGTGAACTTGAGAACGTAGACATAGGCCAGGGGCTGCACACTCAGCATATAGGAATCTAGGATCAAACTCTGGAAGAAGCAACAGCTGCTACATGCGCGAGAGTAGTACACTGTTGTCTTAGGTTCATTCCCAGCCTTCCCACCCAGCCTCTACTTTTTCCCACACACAAAAAGGCCCGAAATCCGAGTGCAAGGACTGTGAACGATTGACACAAAAGCGAGAATACCACTTCTCCTGTTGGAAGGCCAGAAAAGACGGGTCTCTCACAAACAGGCGTTCGGTCTGGCACCGGGCCTCGCGCTCAGTTGTCCAAGGCAATCCCAGTTGGGATGGAAGATGGTACTTTGGTGAGTGTGCACTTTGCCCAATCGACTGGCAACAAAATCCCGCCCCCGCCCCCCGCGTCCGTCTGTGAGATGCGGCCCAGCCCCCGCCCGCCCCATGCAACAACAAAAACACGGAGACAGCCACACCAACTTTTCTCGGATTCGTCATTCGGCTTGCTTCCATGACGCCGGACAAACTACAAAGCTACTATGAGCGCGTCGCAAACTTTGGGGCCACTTCCAATGCCACTCAGGGCTTAGCTTGCCAATTCTCCCAAGTCCCTTCTACCTGCCACGCCTAGCCGGTAAAGTGCCGTCCCTTCCTCAAACGGGCGAACTACATTCCTGATGTCGACCTCCGCAATCACCAAGCGTATCGGCTGATCTCGTGAGCATGCGTTCGCCAACGCATTTTGTCGCAACTGGTTGCATCCCTTTGGCCTGTCCTCCCACCCTTCCCCCAACCCACGGCACGGCGTCCTTAAAGGCGCCCAATCGCCACTCGACGGCCTGTGACCAGGAGGTGGGATCTGGGGAAGCCTTGAACCTCGCTTTCCGCCATGGTTTGGAAAGACTTTTGGGAGTCTGAACAAGTCACGCTCAAAATGGCTCCAGGCTCTAGGCATAAAATATTCACAGCAGTTCAAGATTTCTTCCTGCCTCGCATGGTGGGGAGGACAGCTTTACGTGGCGATGTGATGTGGTTTAGTAGCCAGTGCTCTTTGCATAGCTTTTCGGTTGAATCCGTACCTCTGGTGCGGGGTGGGATCTTATATAACTTACATATGCAAACCACACCATCCCAAAAGCCGTAGGACCTGCACTCTCGGAAAAGGGTCTGTGGAGTCAACCGGGTTCGGGACCCTTTCCTCCCCCCCCCCCCTGGTGGGTCCTCTGGCACCGTCCCGGGCGTGGTTAGAGAGGCCCTGACCACCAGACAGGATCAAGTGACGTTCTGGGAGGGCTTCGGGCCAGCAAACAGGGTAAAGGTACGCAGGACCGAACATCAATGTTTATGTTTAGAGTTTGGGGTTCGGAATCGGGGCGTCCTCAGCTTACTTAGATTGCTGGGAGCTGAGCCCGCAGTTAAGCGCACCCGCTGAACCGGAAATGGCCTGGCGAAGCAAACCATCAGCAGTCCCGCCAGCACCTGCCCAGCAATTCTACTCCCCACTCCCCACTCGCGAAACCATCAGGACTCATGTCTTGCTGATCCTCTGATATCCTACATACTTTTATACTTTCAAGCACCTCCAACACACGAGCTGCGCAAGAGTATTGTCAGAAGCCCCTCCCAGGAGCCCAGAATCGTAAGGAGCTCCTGTCTAGGACTGGTTTTAGTGTTTGTCCCCGCAGTTTTCGGCGACCAATTCAAAGCCATCAGCTAGATCTAAAGGGTTTCGGGGGCTCACGGCTCACGCCATCTCAACGCTTCATGCATTCACTGTTTCAAACTTCAGGTACACCTTGAGGCCTTAAGCGCCAAGTGACCAAGTGACCATCACCGACTCCAAAATCTGTTTCTTGCCCCCTCTTGCGCCCCAGCCTGAGAGACAAGGCCATGCACCCAGCCGCGCAATGCCACCTCCGTGGGAGTGAAGCAGCTTCGGACATTGAGACCAAAAGTGGCTTCAGGATGTCGCAGGGTCGGGTTGCAGAAGACCTGTCATGAGGTTCAGGATAGTTTGGCGCCCGTGCTCACAAGAGAGCAGGGCATCAGACGACGCGAAAGCAAGGGACCCCAACCCCCCCCCCCCCACCCCCGTCGCTTTTCATGCAGCCCCGATCAAAACCCCGCAACTGAGATCCAGTTAGCCCTTTGGTACAAACCCCCCTCCTCTACCCCCAAGAACGACCAGGCGACCAAAAGGCGCAGCAACGAGGTGCCTCTGAGTCGACGTGTTCGGGCGGCATATCCAGCTGCAGCTGCGGTAAGACATGCCTCTCGGGTCTTTGGGGGTTTCGAGCTCAGGGGCCCCCCTGGTTAGCACTGTTGGTTGCAGCTTGCAGGGTTCAGTTCTCAGGGCTTTTTGGGCGCTGCGATGGCTCAGGAAAGCCTGTGGCGTTTGGGATGTCTGGGACTTGGAGCTTGGGATGGTTGATTCTGCACTTTATCATCCGTTGCGGCAAGTGCAGGTGCGCGTGACCGAGTTCAGGGCTCAAGCGGATGTAGGGCTCTTTGGTGTTTGGGTCCGAAAATCGACATTTAGACGGCTCGGGTTCGCTGTCCTCTTTCCTCCGTGCCCACATTGCGTCAGTCAGCAGAAACAGGGCTTGATGCAGCTCCGTGGCAGTAAGAGGTAGATGGACCAAACGCCCGACACCATCGTCAGCACAGTCCTGGGTTTTCGTAGTCTTCGTGTCATCTTGGGGGACGAAGCCGGGTCCAAGAGGTGCTTCTGGCCCCAGAGGCATGACGGAGGAATCGATGCTGCAGCTCGTCACTTCGAAATTCAACACCAGCAAGAAACCCTCGACCCTTCACACGATCTATGCCCTAACCCTAAGGGCATCCAACCTCCCCTGGAGCATGAGCTCCTTCTCGGATAAACACCCATCGTCCTAGCCTCGACAGACGGTGCCATGTGAAACACATCGTCCCTGTCAGAGGTCCAAGGGGCTCAGAATGAGGCTCCGAAGCCTTTTATTCTAGTAATTATGTAGTACTCATAGCAAGCGCCAAGCTTGGCCGCCTGGGCCCCCTCAACTGGGGCCCCGGCACCGGAGGCAGCAGGTTCGCAAGGGAGAGCTCCTGGCGAGTGGCTTTCTCGCAGGAGCTTTGCTTGGTCTTTTTCTTTCGTCCCAAAAGGTTAAACATATGCCGGCTGTGCAAAAATAGGCTGCATTTCATCGAGTCTCGCCGGACTCGTGGCCAGCGAGATGTTCAAAGTACACCTGGCTGGGCCGCTTCAATCCCTCCACGAAGCTATACGGAAAGCATCTCGAATGGAAACGTCCATGTCAATGGCAAGCCCCAGCGTAGTCTGCGCCCGAGATAACCCTGACGAACCCTCAGGCATCTGAACCCCAAGCCCTGATCACTCCGCGAAGGCTGCGGAAAAGCCCTACAGCTTTTCACCTCTCTGCCTATCCAAAAATGCTGCTCATCCCAGCAGAGCGTAGGGCTGCGGCTGTGGAGTTGGCAAACAACTGCGCCCTGGGTAGCGCGAGGCTTGGGCTTGAGGTCTTCGCGTCGAATTTCTAGGTTCAGAGGTGCTTCAGTTCAGGATGTCGGCAGCCACGGAGGCAACCAGAGCGTGGGGGCTCTGAAAGCTCAGCATTCCAGCTGTTGTCTTTCAGGTGCGTTTGAAGCAAGCGTACCATACCTCTGAATAGAAGTGCCAAGCATCATAGCATCAGGAGTTCTTGGGGTTGAGGATTCTTGGTCAGAGGGTCGCATCTAGGTTGAGAAAATAAGGTGGCTCCAAAGAACCTTATTGAGTTCTGCGTACCGAGCAAGCCGTGGAACTTACGCAGTATTTCGGCCACAAGCCCGAAATGCCCTTCAGCAGCGAACTGCAAACCCTCCAGAGGTATTCCTGGCCCACCGATGCAGCCAAGGGCATCGCACTTCTGGGTCAGAATCCAGCCTTGAGCCCCCAAGGTGCGGAACTCCAAGCCTCCTGAAAACACCCGGAAAGCCATCCCAATGACTCCAAAAACGCCCAGGAGCCCCAGCGTATGTCCAGCCCGAAGCGTCCCTCGACGGCTTCAGACTTGGGGACATCCGCTTTGAGCCGAAAGTTGGCATGCCGAGGGCTTCGGGATAGACGAACCTGTGCAACTCCAATCAAAACCAGGTGAAACCAATACAGAAACAGTCAGCAGCAAGTAAGGATGCTGATCCGGACAAGCCAGCCCTGTAAAACATCCAAACCTCAGCAACGAAACGAACCCTAAGCCTGAACCTCAACTCTGAGACTGCAAAGTGCAAACTCGTGCATTATCATTACTCAAATGGTGTGCATAATCTGGCGTTTACGAGTCCGTGCAAGTTGGGGCGAGAGAGCCATTGGGATCATTGGGCAGTTGTAAACTCCTTCAGCCCCTCCGCAGATTCCATTGCAGCCTGCACTTTGGAGAGTGAGGGTTTGCGTGTTTTGGGTTAGTTTCGCCTTTGGCGTGGTCCTTCACTGAAATGCATGCTCTCCAACCAGTGCGGGGCATTAAGTTGTGCTCAGTTTTGCGCCGCGCGCGCGAATCAACGGCATCCGCCAACTGCTGTCACGGTTACTTTTGCCTGGCGAAGGGGTGGAATGCAAAACAGGTCAGGTTTATTTAAAGGGCTTGGAGGTTTGGGAGCCTACGATGCGGTTTTAGGAAAGCAGAACATGGACGCATCGGCACTCTAGTGCATCGGTACCTTGAGAAGAGACACTTCCAAGTGCTTTGGGGAGTGCTCAAAGACTCCGAGGCATCAACCTCCAGAATCAAAATTCACAGTTCCTCTCCTTCATCGAAACATTGCAGCTTCCTTGTGTTTACACATGTTTACACCTTGGACCCTCTTTGGGACTCGAGATTGTTGAGAGCTGAGCCCTAAGCCTCGACGGTTGGAAGAACTCAAAGACCCTCCGTGGGCCCTGAATGTCTTCACAAGCCTTCACACGACCGTTTTTATTTTGGTGTCAGGCTGAGCGTATACATGAAGACCTGCCGAAATACCCTCTTCACTGACCTTGCTGACAGGATGCGGGAGGCTGTCGAAACTGCCTTCTGGACCCTCATGCCAACACTAGAGGATGTGCGAGGATGGGCGGGACTCGAAGACTTCGATGATCTCTGCTTCGAGAAGCTGACGTCCTGAAGCCCGGTAAGCCCGATCGTTAAAGCTTGGAATTCCCCCCCAAAAAGCGTCGGAGTGGCTTCATCACGTGCACCAGTGACGGCTGCGCCTGTTTGGCGAGCGCAAGGGGCTTGGACTTGTTCAACTCCAACGGTGGCGTCAGGGAACGTCTTAAGGTCAAACTTCAAGCCCCAAACGCAACCTATTCCCCACACTTTAGACTCCTCATGCCCTCAGGCCCAGAAGCACCAACTGCTCGATCCCTGCACGTTTCAGTATCCTGCAACCTACGTAAACGCTAAACCCTTCATCACCAGCGATGAGAAGTGTTGTGGGCTGCGGGGCGACGGGGTTCCAGGCACAGTCTAGCAGTCTCAGTTCTGATACAGCAGCGGTTTCAGTGCAGCCTCCAGGCATGCCATGTACTCGGACTCAGCTTTGTACCTGGCTCACCAACCCGTACATCCCACTCACGCTCCAATTCTCACCATTAAGATTTGCCCGAAGCTTTTGCTGGAGTGTGCCCAGTTGGCTGGATACTGGCTGGATGGCAAGGTTCAGCTTGTGGACATTCGCTTGATGACGCTTGAACTGACATAAGTTTCTTCAATGTTGCTTGTGCTGTATGGGTGGATGGTCAACCCAGTCGACGAATTTCCGGCATCTCTGCTTGTGACAGAGGGGTGTCCATGAACTCCAAATCCCGAAACCCCCACCCTTGAAGTCATGACCTCAGGCTGCTGTGTCCACCCTCCTTTGCTACCCTGCAACCCTGAAAATCTGACACCTGCTGTGCTTTTCGTGGCCCTCCCGTCAGCTGAGCCAGGAGCATCTCGGCTTGGATCGCCTTGAGCTGGCTACCTGAACACCAAAGGACTTGCACCAAAATCCGCTGAACTTCAACCTTTTTTAGGGGCCAGGGCAGGTTGCGTGTTCGTCCGCAAGCCGCGTGTTTGTTCTGCCTTCACTTGAAAAATCAGCGAGAGCCTAGTAAATCCTCCACTGCAGTGGGCGTGCACAGGCACGAATAGTGAGGCTTGCCCCGCAAGCCCCACTTGAAACCAATCTGGATGGCTAAAGCGCACTTACCTTAGCTATCAGCTTGGAGCCAATGCGACCCTTGCTTGGCTATCTCAAGCATCACCTCAGCATTCTTCTCGTGCACGAGTTGCGGAGTCCCTACATCCAATGCTTGTGTTGGAATGCATGGGGTGGAGTTTTTTTTTGGGTCTTTTTTTTTTTTTTTTGGGCCTTTTTTTTTTTTTTGGTCGATTTTCTTGGTTTTCTCTAGGAAAAACCCTACTTTCCTTACATTTTGGACGGATTTTCTGTCATTTCCCTTAGGTTTTCGTTGGTTTTTCATAGGGAAAAACCTATTTTTTTACATTTTGGACGGATTTCCTGTAATTTCCCTTAGGTTTTCCTTGGTTTTTCCTAGGGGGAAAACCCTATTTTCCTTACATTTTGGACAGATATCCTGTCATTTCCTTCGTTTCTTGGGCTTTGAAGCACGCTTGGTACGGCTTAAAAGAAGCTGGGGGGTTTGGAGGGGGGGCGCAGCCCCCCCACTTGCAAACACCTCTTGGGCTTTGAAGCACGCTCTGCACGGCTTCAAAAAAAAAAGAGCGGGGGGGGCGCAGCCCCCCCATTTGCAAACACAATGCACACACGATGTTTTTCAATTAGCTTCTTGGGCTTTGAAGCACGCTTGGTACAGCTTAAAAGAAGCGGGGGGGTTGGGGACGCTGTGCCCCCCATTTGCAAACACCCTGCTCACATGATGGGTTTCAACTACTTTCTTGCGCTTTGGCTGAAAGAAAGCGGGGGGGTTGGGGGGGGCGCAGCCCCCCCCATTTGCAATGCTCACACGATGTTTTTCAACTAGTTTCTTGGGCTTTGAAGCACGCTTGGTACGGCTTAAAAGAAGCGGGGGTTGGGGGGGCTGTGCCCCCCATCTGCAAACACCCTGCTCACATGATGGGTTTCAACTAGTTTCTTGGGCTTCGGCTGATAAAAAGCGGGGGGGTTGGGGGGGGCGCAGCCCCCCCCATTTGCAAACACAATGCTCACACGATGTTTTTCAACTAGTTTCTTGCGCTTTGAACGGCTTAAAAGAAGCGGGGGGGGTTGGGGGCGGGCGCAGCCCCCCCCCCATTTGCAAACACCCTGCTCACATGATGGGTGTTAACAAGTTTCTTGAGCTTTGAAGCGCGCTCTGCACGGCTTAAAAAAAGCGGGGGGGTTGGGGGGGGCGCAGCCCCCCCCATTTGCAAACACAATGCTCACGATGTTTTTCAACTAGTTTCTTGGGCTTTGAAGCACGCTTGGTACGGCTTAAAAGAAGCGGGGGGGGTTGGGGGGGGCGCAGCCGCCCCCCATTTGCAAACACCCTGCTCACATGATGGGTGTCAACAAGTTTCTTGGCTTGGGCTTTGAAGCACGCTCTGCACGGCTTAAAAAAAGCGGGGGGGTTGGGGGGGGCGCAGCCCCCCCCATTAACAAACACAATGCACACACGATGTTTTTCAACTAGTTTCTTGGGCTTTGAAGCACGCTTGGTACAGCTTAAACGAAGCGGGGGGGTTGGGGGGGCTGTGCCCCCCATTTGCAAACACCCTGCTCACATGATGGGTTTCAACTACTTTCTTGCGCGTTGGCTGCAAAAAAGCGGGGGGGTTAGGGGGGGCGCAGCCACCCCCATTTGCAATGTTCACACGATGTTCTTCAACTAGTTTCTTGGGCTGCCCTTGGGCTTTGAAGCACGCTTGGTACGGCTTAAAAGAAGCGGGGGGGGTTGGGGGGGGGCGCAGCCCCTCCCATTTGCAAACACCCTGCTCACATGATGGGTGTCAACAAGTTTCTTGGGCTTTGAAGCGCGCTCTGCACGGCTTAAAAAAAGCGGGGGGGTTGGGGGGGGCGCAGCCCCCCCCATTTGCAAACACAATGCTCACACGATGCTTTTCAACTAGTTTCTTGGGCTTTGAAGCACGCTTGGTACGGCTTAAAAGAAGCGGGGGTTGGGGGGGCTGTGCCCCCCATCTGCAAACACCCTGCTCACAT